TATCACACACACACACATACACACACACACACACACACACACACGCATACACACATGCATACACACACTCACATACACACTCATATTCTCACACATAGTCACATACACTCACACTCACATACACACACATTCACATACATATACATACACTTTCTCTCTCACACGTACATACACATATACACACATACACTCACACTCACATACACACACATTCACACACACTTTCTCTCTCACACAGACACATACACACTCACATACACACACATATTCTCACGCAGTAACATTCACTCACATTCACATACACACACACTCACACACATATACACACACACTCTCTCTCACACACACACACACACACACACTCCCCATCTCCTCTCACACCCAGCCTTAACAGCCAAGATGAGTATTGATGGCATCAGAGTATATGTGGAAATTGCCAAAAAGGCAGGAAAAGTGTTGGCAGACCCCAGCCAAACAAGTGAATCCCAATGTCAGGCAGCATCTTTTTGCTCAGTGAGGCATTCCGGACTTAACTAAATTGTATTTCCTGGCTCTGGAGTGATAAGGCAGCAATCAGAAAAACATGTTACACTTATACATCAATAGAAGTGGCAGCTTGTCCAGTATTTTGTTGAAAGATAGCATTGGGCATAATAGCTCTCAGGACTTTGATGGCAGGAGAAAACCAGATTAATCCACTGTGGCAGACCCAACCGTGAGTCTCTGAGGCTGGGGCTCCCGGGCAGGAAAACCAATGATGCTATTAAACAGAAATTCATTTTGCTTTCCCCAAACCCTTCTTTCCAGCCCGTGGAAAGAGGCTTCCGTTCCTCTTCAGTACCTTTAGTCCCTTAAAGGATTATTTCCGCTACAGCAGAAATGGAGACACAAACAGAAACGTTTAAATAAAATTAAGTGGAATGCCGAGAAGGCGACAGGCTGGAGAAGAAGATTGGGGCGGGGCAATAAGGAGGAGGAGAGGAAGCAAAATGACTCAGGCTGGATCTAAGCCAATGGTGTGGGGGCAGGCAGACACCAGGTGGTCCAAGGTGAAGACTGACCGGGGGCCCCATGGGAAATGGGGAAGCAGTGTGTCACATTAGAGAAAGCACTGAAGATAGAGTCAGGAGACCTGGGTCCAAATCCCAGCCCTGCTTATTGGAACCTTGGGCAAATAATTTAACTTTCCTGGACCTTGAGGGAGGCAGGGGTAGGAATGAGGGGGAATGACCTATAAATTGAGCCTTGAAAACATCTAGGGGCTCTAAGAGGTAGAGGGGAAGACAGAGAGCATTCCAGATAGGGATACCTATAGACATTCCCAGGATGGACAATGGGTGCAACCTGCATGGAGGTAAGGAAATTGAATGTTGAGTATAGAAAACATCTATTAGGCTAGATGAACTTAGGTTTGGGAAGTCATGACCTCAATCATAGAGATTCTGAGTGGAGCCAAAAGGCAGTGTGCGATCACACCCTTTCCAGTCTTCATTGATAGAATGTTGCTTTCATATTATTTTCTGAGAAAGATCAAAAGCAGTATGGGGCAGGGAGTAAACACAAGACATCAAGGCAGCCAGTAAGATGTCCAGACTGACTGAATCAGCCTCTTTCTTTTCACTGAGCGTGAGCCTCCGCCAGGCCTCTGTCCTGGGCCCTCTTCTCTTTCCATATTCTCTCCTTGGATAATCAAAATAGCTGCCATGGCTTCCATGATCATCTCTATGCAGATGGCTCCTAGATCTTCACATCCAACCCCAATTTCTTTCCTGAACATCAGTCACATAATATCAACTGCTTGCTGGACACCTCCACCCGAATGCCCCAGCAATACCTCCTACTCCACCTGAGTAAATCAGAACTCTTCTTTTCCCTTAAACCCACCTTTCCTCCAAACTTCCCCATTTCTGTTCATGGGAAGCCAATCTCCTAGGCTCACAACCTTGTAGTTATTCTTCGCTCTTTCCTCTACTTCTATTCCCATATGCAATTAGTTGGTAAGTTTTATTGATCCTACTTCCACAGGAAGAATCCATCTTGCATCCATCCCCTTCTCTCCATTCACATGGGAGGGAAGGGAAATTCCCTTTCCTCTCCTCACTCCCCTGAAGCTAAGGCACCTACCATCATTTCTCCCCTGAACTATTGAAATAGCCTCCTAATTAGTTCCTCTCCTCTAGTCTCTTCTCCTCACAACTACCAGCTTGATATTCCTGAAACATGGAACTAACCATGTCACTCCCCAGTTCAAAAAAAATTACTTCTTATTCCTTATTCAGTGGCTTTCTGTTTCCTCTAAGATTAAATGCAAATTACTCAGCCCAGAATTTATAGCTCTCTACAATCTGGGTACCACCTGCCTTCCAAATCATATTTATTATTACTCGCTTTTACACACTCTGTTCTACTCAATGTATCATACTAGTTATTCCCTAAACAAGAAATTCCATCTCTCATCTCTGTGCATTTGCTTTCCTACAAATAGTCCCCCAAGTCTGGATTTCACTCCCTCCTTACCTCTACCTCTCAGAATCCCTAGGTTCCTTTTAAGCTCAACTCAGGTGCCACATGCTGTATAAGTACTTTCCTGATCTCCCCATAGGAACTCTCTCTCCTATTGTGTCCCCACTTGGAGATAGTGCCAGCTGCCATCACCTGGACATCTCAGTGATCCAGGACCTCTCAAGTTTACAAGTTAGCTGGCAAGCCTAGAAACTTCCATCTCAGGATCACTATTCAGTCACCTGTGCTCAATGAAAGAAACACAAAGCAGAGGAATAGGCTAAGGACTTGAGCTCCAGCCTAAGGCAAGCACATGTACTTGTTCACATGTACATGTAGTTGCTATAGCTATGGGGTGGGCAGAGGGGAGAAAAAGGGAAAGACAAATCTCTCTTCTACTTTACCTCCCCCCAATAGAAATTCAAGTGGAGCTTGCAGAATCCTAACAATCTTAGAAAATAAGTGGGGAGAATAGTAGAAGTTATTTCTCCTTTCAACCCTAACTTAAGGAGTTGTTCTCATTCAGTCACTTTCATTCATTCATCTTTAACATAGTGCTTAGTAATAGGGACCATAGAAACCACACAGGAATCTCTTTACACTTAGTACCTGGTATATAGTAGGTCCTTAATAAATCTTTATTGACTGATTGTCTGACTCCACATGCAAGTAGTCCACCTTAAAGGGTCAGCATGCAGCCACACTTCCAATCATGTTCCTTGGAATGGACCTAGCAGGACCCAAACCAACAGACAGAGCATCAGTCTATCTCACTTACCCCTATTGTACTTCATATATTCTGCTCCCCCAAGTAGTATGTAATCTCTTTGATCTCTCTTGGGTAGAGAGATTTGTTTTTGTACCCCCAATGCCTGGCATAATGCCTAATACATAGAAGGCTTAATAACCGTTTGTTGAATTGGATTAAATTGAATTGTGGTGTGCTGCCCTCCACCACCACAGCTTCCTGAGATCTGTATCATCTACTCCTCTCTTTCTAGGGGAAAGCACAGCTATAAGAGTCTAGTGGGGTGCTATTGTCCAGGTAAGAAGCAATGAGGGCCTGAACACTTTCTCCATTTGTAAAATTAGCACATAAAACCTATACTGCCCACCTACCTCATGAGATAGAAAAATGCTTCTTAAGCCTTAAAGCACTATTGAATTGTGAGATATTATATTCTTCATCTATAAAATGGAGATGGAGAGGTTAGACTAGGTCAATCAGTCAGTAAATAAGCATTTATTAAGTGCTTATTATATACCACGCACCATTCTAATCGATGATCTCTAAGATTCATCCTTTCTATTTCTAAAATTCTATTACCCCGAAACCATTCATCAAAGTAGGACCTTGAGAAGGACTTTTAGTAGCCAACTTTAATTCCCTTACTGTATGTAATTACAATAAAACTTTATTTCTAGGACAGTGTGGTCTGAGGGGACTGGACTCAAATTATTATTTCCTTTAAGTCAATGAAGTTTTTTTCTGTAGTAAAAGATTGTATCTGGTTAGTTATGTTGCCAAAGATGTCTTGTAATAATAATGCATCTTAATGTGCAGTCTCCCTGCCCCACCCAAACTCAATCGTGAGCTCTTTGAGGCTGAGTGCTGGATCTTATGAAAGGAAGGAAGAAAGGAAGGAAGGAAAGAAGGAAGAGAGGGAGGGAGGGAAGGAATTAAAGAAGTAAAAAAGGAAGGGAAGGAGGAGGAAGATAGAGAGGGAAGGAGGAAATGAGCATTTACTAAATGCTTACTATATGCCAGGCATTGTGCTAAAGGAGTGTTTTCAGGAGATTAGAGCCTAGATTTAGAGATATGGGGTCATATACATTTACAGTGGAAGATACTGAAGCCCAGAAACGTGAAGAGGCTTGTCCAGTGTTCTCAGCTCATAACTGCTGAAGTCAGAACAAGAACCTTGGCCAGCTCTCTCCAATGCCCAGTCCTATACATTTTACACTACAGCACTCTATCTCTTTAAAGAAGTCAAGTCCCATGATGAATTCTAAGGGAATGGCCAAATTCTTTGTTGTAGTAGAATTGTTGTTCAATTATTGTTCAAAATGTCTATACAACCATCAAGTCACAAGCATTTTAGTAAGTACTTACTGTGGGCCAAGAACTGTGGTTGGCTCTGGAATTTGTCCCCACCTTCAAGTGATGTGGGAACACCTGGGGGATGTTCCTTCCCCTAATGTAGGCCCCTATAAATTCAAGTCTTAGAAAGGCTCAGTATGTGTCAGAGGTGAGATCTGAACCCAGATCTCTGAACTCCAGATCCAGGCTTCTATCCACCATGTCACATAAGAGACTAGAGGGTGTTGACTTTTTTTGAAACCAGTAGCTATCAATCAAGATTGAAGGAGTGTAAGGGGCTTCTTGGAGATTCACACTGCAATAGGCTTTATAAAAGATATGACCTGCCATTGAAATATCAGTGCCCAGAGACGTGTAATAAGCCACTCATGCTCTCTCTCTCTTTTCTCTCTTCCAGGTGTTTACAAAATATGGGAAATGTTATATGTTTAACTCAGGAGAGGATGGAAAACCTCTGCTCACGACAGTCAAGGGAGGAACAGGCAATGGGCTGGAGA